TTCAACGATACTAGTTGGGTAATTCTCTTACGAAAAGTCAAAGCAAAAAGTAAGTCTATTATCTGCCTTTCATGGATTTGTTTTCAAGGTAAACTTTTACAGCATTTTTAGTGGTTGAGGAGATTTCATGGGGGATCACAGTTTCAAATACAAATGTTTTCGATCTTCTCTCTATTAGATCTCCAATTCTCCCTTCTTTGCTTCCAATGCTCAATCGCTTCAAGTATTGACTACATTCAAAAAATTTGCAAAGGTTGCTGAGTCTAGCCAAAAAATCAATGCAAGTTATCTTGAAGGACATCCTCTCTTTTTGCCAGTTGTTTTCTGTTCTGGATGTAGTAGTAATTCCTGCTTCTCATTCAATATTTTCTAGATTTCCTTCTACTTTTCCATTGTCTTTAATGTACATATAATATTACTCGTTTTATTAATATTATTATTTGATCTTTTTCATATATATATATATATATATATAACTTACAAATTTTATTACTGATGCAGGCATATCTATGGAGATATCGTTGTTAAATGTACTTGTTAATGTGATATCCTCGTTTTCGCACTTAAGATTTTCCAGAAACGTGAGCTCAGAACTTATGTTGAAGTATTACCAAAAGGAAGAGGAGATACTCAAGCTGTTAAAGCCAACACTTGAAGCCATCACTAATACTGATTTAGCCTCTGATGAAGTGCTTCTGAAGATATTTGAAGAACTGAACCAGGCTGTTCAGGAACTTAGGGAGCTTTTCGAGAGTTGGCAACTATTGTGTAGCAAATTTTACATTGTAAGTCTCATACATAAATATATAACATCTCAATTGTTTATTGTGAATATAACATAAGGTTGGTTCCTTCACGGGGTTGTTGTCTTCATATCGGTTTTTGCAATGTTTTCTCTTTACTGAAACTAGCTAGTTTAGTTAAGCTCATATGGAATTACGAAGGGTGCAATTTAATTAGTTTGGGCCCATTTGGTTATCTACAAAGCCAACTAATAATATATAATCCTCTGATCGTTAATGTAAGACTAATTAACTAATTTGATTATATTAATGATGTTAGCTAAATTAGTCAATATGATTTTTTTTTCTAAAACTCCCTAATCATCTACCTTAATTTTCTTCCTCTTTCTTTTATTTGATTATTGTTGAGGGAATATTAATAGGGTTATTTGAAAAAATTTAATAAATATATGAAATATGTCTTATATATAGAACTAACATCAACTCTTAAATTAGATTCTACGTTAAGGACTAGAGGAGCATAATGTAAGCTTTTATATTATACTCTACCTCTAGCTCTAAATGTAGAACTATATAAGTAATTTTGTAAAGACTAAGAAAATTAATTAAGTTGATTATTTGTAAGAAAATGTGTGTTGGTTTTTCTAAAATATTCTATTTAATCATTTATTTTAATTTGTGTAATCGATTAAAATAGTTTGAAAGTATTGTGATTTGGTTGGCAAAAGTGTAATATATCCTAGCTCTTGTCTTTTAGTGGTGGCATTGCCAAATCGCCATTCACGAATAAGGGGCTTTTTGGTCTGTTTCTCTTATTTTTTTAATTTAAAAATAAAAAATAGGCTAGTTTAATGCTTTGCTATACAGACTAAAGTAATAGTCATCATACTACACGACATTCCTTTACCTAGGTCTCTTTGCAAGCAACCAAATGGGCCCTTCGTGTCCTTTCAGATTTATCTTTCTATATAATTGCAAGTCTTGCTATGATTTAAATATCTTCATAGAGAAGGTGGTGTGGTAATTTTTTTTGTACGGTACTTCTCAGATCCTAAATGTAAGATTCAGTTTATAGTTTAAATTATATTTTATAAAATAGAGTTTATATTTAGAACAGAGGAGAAATTTTACGTGATCTATTAGGTTAGAAGTAGAAAATTTTTATAAGAACATCTGTTTCTACTAGATTATTGCCTTGTACAAAGTAGAACATGTAAAGAATCTTCACGTAGTCTATTAATGAATTCAGTGCTCCGCCCCCCCCCCCCCCCCGGGGCAAAAAAAACCACAAATCTCATGTTCGTTGTGGATTCTGACCACTTTTTTCTTGATCTCTAGGTTCTACAAGTTGAATCCTTGATATCTAAGATTCAGATTATGGCACTCAACATATTCAACCAACTGAAAGCTTCCCATCAATGTCTCCCTAATGGATTAAGTTTTTCACACATAGAGGTATCAAACGCAATTAATCACTTGGCTCAAAGATTTGTTCTTGTTTTGATTCACATGTTTTTAAGATAAGAAATTAACGTAGGGTTTACATAATCAACATTATATATTTGCAGCACTGTATTGAGAAAGTAAAGAATTTGGGACATGAAGAAACATCATTTATCATCAAGGAAGCTATCATGGAACAAGTGGAAGGCTTAGGTCCTAGCTCAGAGGTCCTTGAAAAGCTTGCTGAGAATTTGGGCCTGAGCTCTAATCAAGAGATTCTAATTGAGGCTTTGACACTTGAAAAGTTGAAGGAAAATGCAGAACAGATTGAAAATACTACAGAAGCTGAATATCTACGCCAGATAATTACTCTTGTAACTTACATGCATGAGAGACTTATAATGCTCAAGGAAGCCCAGATCTCTAGCCAAGTTCCAGTACCTGCAGATTTTTGCTGTCCTCTCTCTTTGGAAATGATGAAAGATCCTGTGATTGTGTCATCAGGGCAAACTTATGAGCGAGTTTTCATTAAGAAGTGGATTGATCTAGGGCTTAACGTTTGTCCGAATACACGTCAGACTTTGGTTCATACCAACCTAATACCAAATTATACTGTGAAGGCATTGATTTTAAACTGGTGTGAATTGAACAATGTCAAGCTAGTTGATCCTTTAGTGTCCTCAAACTTGAATCATTGCAGCTCAACTTCAGAAGGTTCTTCTAATGACATGACTTGTAGGCAAAGTTTGGATATTTTAAGAATATCACAGACAAGTTCTGATAACATGTCTGTTAGCTCAGATGAAATCAGGGCAGATTTAGATGACCAAGATTCGTCGTCACAATCTAGAAGGGAATCTTCCAATGCCTTAGGCTTAGAACAATATCAAACTCATGTTAGAACTGATCTTGATTCCACTGCATCTTTGAATGAGAATTTTCCTCAAGAAACAAAAGGTGATGACAAAGTCTTAAAAGCTCAGATGACTCCATCATCAGAGGCAAGGTCTGGAATCTTAAGTATATGGCAGCAACAACCAAAGAATTTAAGGTTAGGATCTTCACTTGTTGAAACTAGACCTAGCCCTTCTAGAATTGAAACCCAAGTTCAGAATTTGGCTAAAGAGTTGAAGAGCTCTTCAATTGATGCTCAAAGAGAAGCGACAGCAGAACTACGCCTTCTTGCTAAGCACAATATGGAAAATAGAATTATGATTGCATCTTGTGGAGTCATTACTTTATTAGTCAACCTACTCCAATCAACTGATACAAAGATCCAAGAAAATGCAGTTACGGCGCTTCTAAACTTATCGATCAACGACAATAACAAAATTGCAATTGCAGATGCTGGTGCAATTGATTCTCTAATTCATGTTCTTGAAACAGGAAGTCCTGAAGCCAAGGAGAATTCTGCAGCTGCACTTTATAGCCTATCAATGATGGAAGAAAATAGGATTAGGATAGGGAGATCACGGGCAATCAAGCCATTGGTAGGTTTACTAGCAAATGGAACCCCAAGAGGGAAAAAGGATGCTTCCACTGCATTGTTCAATCTGTCAATATTTCATGAAAACAAAGGACGGATCGTGCAGGCCGGCGCCATAAAGCACCTTGTGGGTTTAATGGATCCAGCAGCCGGAATGGTAGACAAGGTGGTGGCCCTTTTGGCAAATCTTGCATCAATTCCTGAAGGAAGAACTGAAATTGGTCATCAAGGTGCTATTCCTATTCTAGTTGATGTAATTGAGTTGGGTTCCGCAAGAGGGAAGGAAAATGCAGCTGCCACTCTTCTACATATTAGTTCAAATAGCACCAGGTTCTTGAGCTTAATGATCCATGAAGGAGCCATCCCACCATTAGTAGCATTATCACTATCAGGCACCCCAAGAGCCAAGAAAAAGTATGTCACTATCTTTGTGGTTTCATATATTAGCTGCCTTATATAAATGATTAATTATTGATGAATCTTTTTTTTTTTTTATTCTGTATTTAGGCACAGGCTCTACTTAACCATTGTAGAAGTCAAAGACATGGTAGTGCTAGATGAGGTTGATTTCATTTCTACAACTTCAAAATCATTCTGAAGTTTTTTGGGTCAACTCTAATTGAATATCTCAAATGTGTATATATATTACATGGTTCAGATAAGATATGTACTACTTCTTAATTTCTTGTAGTGGAAGAAACATCTTCATGGAGGGTTGATTCTGTCCTCTAAAGGAAAGCCTTTTATGTGAAGAAAGATTATACTCCTCCGGTCCTAAATGTAAGACCCTTATACTAGTGTGTATAAGGGTCTTACATTTAGAACCGGAGGAATACATACATGCAAGTTCATCTTGTTTCTGGAAAAAAAAATTAGTATCTGTGTGTTGTGTGTATCAGTTTTATAGAACTTGGAAATAGTTGTATTGCTCGTGTTAAAATAATACCATTGCAAGCATGAATAATATAAGTAAAACCTTCTCAACAAAAATTTGGGAAGATGCTTCTTAATTTTGAGAATATCATTTCACATATATTATATAGTCTCTAGATCATGGGGTTTATATCTAGTCCTAAATATATAAGCTAGTTAGGAAGCTGATTTTAAATGTAAAATATTAATATACTGTATCTTATATTTATCATTTTTCCTCGAACTAAATTCATCTAACTTATGAAATGATATATAATCTAAGAGTATTTTAGGGCGATCATGTCAATTTATTTACCTTCCGTAATTTATCCAAATTAATTAAACTGCTATTACATTAATGATAGGAGATGTACTTGACGATTACTCTGCATCGCACAAGAATAGAGGTATATAGAAGCATAAATACTTTCATAATATAGATAAAGTGAACATACATATTTTAGTAAGTCTTGCCATTCTTTTTTTTTTTTAAAGAGATATCCTTGCTTATTAAATACGAAGAAATATTACAAATAACATCAACGCAAGACAGCAAATACTAATTCCACCATTAATTTTCCCCATTGAAATCAAAGAGGCTTGTAATTCACCCTCCTGCAGTTCTCTCTGATCTCTCCATTTGGATAAAGCAAGGGTTTGATCTCTCCCATCCTGATCATGCCATTGACAAAGTCATGATAAAAGGCCCTCTTGTTCAGAGCATAAGTTCGGACCAGCGAATCGGTGGAGCTACCACTGAAGAGAGCTTGATCGGAGTGAAGAAGTCCCTTCTTCTTGAGGAGATTCTTGAAGTAGCCATTGTCAAAATAGTTTGGAGTTGTAACGTCCAAGTTTGCTACAAAATTAGTTGGAGTATTAGTCAGTGGACAGAGGTTCTGCTTGGCCTTGGCAAAAGAAGGGTCAATATTGGTATCGTTATATACGCGCGCTGTGAAAGTAGGGCATCTTGCTTGCCCTATTGTGTGGCCTCCTGAAAGAAAAAACAAGAAAAAAACATGTTGACAAATTAAAGCACTTAATAAATGTAATACTTTATTTATTAGTCCTTATAAGAAAAATTTAATGAAACATTTGTTTTCCATTTTTAAAATTACCTTTACTTTCTTTCACTTCTAGTTTAGATAATGAGTTTAATTAATTTGATCAAAGGTAACTTCATTCAAAGTTCTAAATTTTTTATATTTAAGCTATTTTAATAATTTTCTTAATCTTAATAAAGCAGTTAACATATATATAATACTATCTCTGGTCCTAATTATAAGACCTTGTTTATAGTTTATAAACGAAAATCTTATAATTAGAACCAGAGACAATATTACAAAAAAGGTATTGTCATTAGGACTAGAGGTAGTAAAAAGGATGGGGGGAGTACATGGTGGTCATGTTAGGAGAGAGAAATATTAAAATCACTGATCATAAGTTTATACTGTAAAAGTCAATAATAATAAATTCTTAGGTTAATGTAATCTTTGGTCCTTTAAGTTTGCTCTCATTTTGGTTCTGGTCCCTCAAATTTTAAACCGTAAGTTTTGATCCCTGAAGGGACAAAAGAGTCCAAGTATTATTAGATTATAGGGATTAATATTATAAAGGAAAAGAAACTTGAGGGATCAAAACCTAGGGTTTGAAATTTGGAGATCAAAACTAAAATAAGATAAACTTGAGGGACCAAAGTTTGTATTGTCCTCCTAAATTCTTCTTTGAAAAAATTACTGAGATTCCAAGAAAAAATGTAACTGCAAAAAAAAAAACATAATGATAAGTGAGCATCATGGACTTTGCTATTATTAATTTCTACATTGAAACTTGACTTTGACTTATTATAAGACTTTTTGATAATTACATTCTTTTTTTTAGGACTACAGTGATTTTTCCCTCTTTTTTCACAAGTGCCCTTATTAATGTATTGGAGAGATTATCATATATAAAAAAACTAAAAGTAATTAAGATAAATACTATCTCCTGTCCTAATTATGAGACCTCATTTATAGTTTGTATATTATAAATGAGATCTTATAATTAGAATTACAGGTTTATAAACTACAAACAAAGTCTTATAACTAAGATCGAAAGTAGTATATGGGTTTTAATTGGAGGGCACATAATCTTGAAAAGTAATGATACTCTTTTCTTTTCTTTTACTATTTTAATGATACAAACTAATTTTTTTAATTTTAATAAAATAATTAAAAGTGTCTTATAATAAAGGGGTGGAGTGAGTACGATTAAGGAAAAATGATTTAAAAAAAAAACACCTGCTGAATTTCAAAATAACAAATAGGTGATTGTAATAGATTTTGATATGGCAAAATAAAAATAGTCAAAACTATTATAAAGAGTAATTATGACCTATTTGTCTTTTTAAATTTTAATAAGTATTTTTTAATCATTTTTCCTATAATTAATTAATATATCAATTCAATCTAAAATACAAAATCTTCAATATCCAATATAAATAAAGAATTTATGTTTCAAAGGATACTGTAGCAAAGGGACACATTGAGCGATCATTTAATTTGGTATTTGCTTTTGATGATTTTTTTCACTGTTTGATCCATTAGGTGATTCTGAATGGATTCTAAATCCATTAATAAATTAACAAAGAGAAATTTTTCAGAATATATTGAATGATGAAGAAAAAAATTTAATATTTTAAATATTAAAACTATCATGTATAGATATACGTACTTTTCAACCCTCCTAATTGTGGAAGTGACATGACTACGTGTAGTGGTTCAAATGTCACGTTGGATTCAATTGAGTGCATCTTTTGTATTAAGTTGGCAAAGACATTATTGAGGGGAATTTGGGGGAGGTACATATAAAAATGATGGATTTTTCGGTAATCGCTTAGTTTTTCTTAAAATACTTGTTTCTTTTTTGCCAAAATATTACTTTCTCTAATTCCAATTACAAGTTATTTTTAACTGATTCATGTACAATACAGTTTAAAGCATTAAATTGATTCCTAATGTTAGTCTTATTACCTATGCTAAACTTTAACATTATATTAATTTCTATTATCTCTCATTATTCTTATTAAATATGAACATACATGAAAAAATATTTAATATTCCTTAAATTAAATTATGAAATGCCTTATAACTAAAAAGATCAAAAACACTTTTTAGACGATGTCTTATATATATATGTGGGTGTGTGTGTGGGGCCAGAGGTAGTAATTTTTGTCCTTAGATACAAAGCATATATAGTCAAATGGTTTGATATAATATAATGGAAAAGAAGATGATGGAAAAAGGGAAAGATATAGTTTTATAATACCAGATAAAGCAACCATGTCTTGAGCAGAGAGGCCTTGAGCTTTAAACTTGGAGATAAGAATGCTTAAATTAGAAGAGAAAGATGGAAGCGCATTCTCCGCATGAGACTTATTTGCTGTCTTTGAATCCCTTCTTCCCAATTTAACATCCCAGTTTGGCCCTCCAAGCTGCGCGCACACACATATATCCATATAATTATTACTCCTCTAATCCTTAATACAGGACCCAATTATTGAGTTAGTTTTGATTCTAAATATAATACCTATTTATCATATTTATCAATTTTCTCTAAATTACCCCTATGGATACTCCCTCGATCATAATTAAGAAAATGAGGAAGGAAGGATATTAAGAACAATGATTATGGTATTTTAGGAAAAATGTGTCACATTTCTTATAATTAACTAACTTACCTAACTTTCTTAATCTAATCAAATTAGTTAAATGGGTCTTACATTAATGATCGGAGGAGTATTTGAATCCATTAAACCAAAACAACAACTAATTGATAAATAGATATATCTGCTCAAGATGCCTCTAAAGGAGTGAAAAAAGATATATTGTGAGACCCAAATGATTGACAGATAAGTCTCTAGGCGGATTTGGATTTTTGTAATTCTTTTTTTTTTTCCCCCTTTTCCTATGTCACCATCTGATTAGGTCAAATTTGAGCATTCTTGAGGCTAACTGGGATTTTTATTTTTTTGGTATTTACATGAATTTGAGTTCGACACCTTGTGCTTGAGCGGCTAAAATTTTACTACGATCAATGCTTGTTGATCTTGCGATGCTTTTTATGTAGTGTTTAACTGCTGATCTATTATGAAGATAATAAATCTATTATAATTGGGAAGAAATATATAAATATCATAAAAATATTGTTTTTACAACTTTAGTTTAGAAGGCATACAACTTGGGATCTATTGCCCCCACTGAATTTATTGAAGAACGAACTGGGGGGGTGTAATAATAATCTTAAGCTAAGCCTTATCAAATTGCGTTAAACTATTTTTGATAGAAAAGACAAATCTAATATATACCTAGCTAACTATTTAAAGAATAATAAAATCATTAGGAGAATCTCATGAAAAGAAGTTTAAAATTACTAAATTGCAAATTAGATTTAGTTCTCGTACTGTAATAGGCTTTGACAACATTTTCTAAATAACAACACATTTTTATTAAAAAAAATTTTATATAGGATTACTAATTTTAAACTTATTTTTGTGATACTCTCCCAAAAACAAATCAATTATAAGAGGAATATAATAATTGATGCGTATAATTTAAAGTAATTAAACTCACAAGGACAACAGAATCGCGAGCAGCAACGTAGACAATATCAGCACAAGAGACGACACCAGGGCATACGGCATCCACACGAGACTTTATTTCATCAATCACTTCATAACCTCTGACAGATCCGTTGTTGGGCCCCGCAGTCTTCTCTCCGGTGAACGTTGACGTGTCATCCAGTAATATTGACGCGTCACAACCCTACAGTTCCCACCACATATATAGCATTTGTATCAAATTAATTTGCATCCAAGGTACAAAGAAAAATTGTCACCCAAAAAAAAGAAAGGTACAAAGAAAAATGGCTTGATCATATATAGAGAAATAAGAAAATTATTTTGTAAGTTTCTATATTTTCTTTCAATTTTTAATTTAATACTTATACTATTTTTTATTAGATCCTATAATTTTACTCTGTTAACATTGTTAGTCTTTCAACTTTGCTTTGTTAGTACTACTAGCCACAAACTTACGGGACTAATAAAGTTACAAAATTTAATGAAGAAAAAAAAAGGACAATTGAGTATCAAATTGAAAATTAAACAAAAGTTATAAATACCTGTAAAATGGTTTACTTTAAAGAAATAATTTATTTATATATGAGGCTAAGCCCGCTTGAGATGTGGCTTGCTTGAATTCATTGAAGTAAAGTAAAAAGAATTTTGTTTCAAATGATTCGATTTTCCAATGGTTTTGGTAAATATTGGAAACTTGAACCTATATAATGGGAGCATTGCTATAAGGTCCTAAAAAAGAAAGATAAGTATTAAAAAATCTCATAACAATTAGGCAACTTATAATTATAAATTTCGGTATAAGAAATGACATCATGTTTCAACTTCTCATTTGTCATTAGGACTTTTAAGTAATTATCTTTCTTCTTTGGGATTCCACAGTAATTATTCCTTATTTCATCTCATTGACCAAACAACATTTTTCTTTTTAACACATATCATTGGTAAAACATGAAAATTCATGACAAGCATATATAGAAAAGTCATCAGCAGATAACTTCTACAACACGCTAATTAAGTAGCGACATTGTACATCACATAATATAACTCCCCAAGACATAGGACATTTGATTGATATATTCTTTGCATTTATGATTGTTGAAGTAATTCGTGTTCTTAACAATTTTGTAATTGGAAGGAGATAATTAAGAATGTGACGAAGAAAACATCATTATCCAGCATGGCCAAGTTGCATAGCTATAAATGAACCCTATATATTGTCCTCTCCAGAAAAGGAAAATCAGAACGACGATCTTTGCATTTTCAATGAAATCTAAGAATTGGAGCTTGGAGAAAAATGATCTCCATATAAATCTTTTGAAGAAAAGTTGTATCGTGTCTTTCGTTCCACCGACAATCATGACCCGTGCTTCTAATTAAAAAGAAATATTTTTCACTTAATGCATCGCATGTTTGCAAAAACAGGAGAGAAACAAACCTCAAAGGACAGGAAATAAAGGATTAAAAAGGTAATAATAAGAATAGAGACATATAGAACTAGGAATAAAGGAGAGAGATTTACATTAACAAAACAGTCATGAAAGAAGAGACGAAGCAGACCAGCTCCCAGAACAGGTTCTTTAGAAACAACTGATTTAACTACAGATCTCGCAATAGGGAAAAGTTTTGGACAGATTTTATGATAGAAGTTCTCATGGAGTGTGCAAGCCGAAGAGGGCTCTGATGAGAGAACCAGAAATAAAGATAAGGCAATGATGGCAAAAGATGAAGAAGAAGAAAGAGCCATTTTTTTGGCTCTGTGAAGCTTCACAGTTCTCAAAATATGGTTTGATTAGAAGATGGCATCAGGGCAAGATATATAAGCGAGTCTGCTTGGGATTATAACGGTTTTACGTCTGGAAAATTCGGATTTAAACTTGACGGATTGAAAAAGGGTAAATAAATATAATATCTAGTTGTTAAATACTCCTCCGGTCCCTTAACGTAGGACTTAATTATTGAGTTGATATTGGTTCTAAATGTAAGACCTATTTTTCATATTTATTAATTTTTTCTAAATTATCTTTATTGATACTCTTTTAACCATAATCAAATTAGTTAAATATGTCTAATCAAATTAAGAAAAACATATCATATTTTTTATGATTAACTTACTTATTTAAATTTTTTAATCTAATCAAATTAGTTAAATATGTCTTACAATAAGGATCGGATAAGTATTTATTAGTACATGAAAGTGGGACCAAAAATTCAAATCATGATCCATTGCTATTTATTACACACTATACTGGGCCAAAAGGCTTAACTGGGCATTTAAGATCATCCTGAAACGGCCCTTTTAGAATAAAAAACAATTCCCAAAAAAATAGTTGTTAAATTTTAAAATTTCAAATTAATATTGATTACTACACTTGTAAAAAAAAACTACACTAGAACAATAAATGAGAATATATTTGTATAGTAATTCCTGATTTAAAAATTTAAAATTTAACAATATTTTTTGAGATTTTCCCTTAGAATAATCTTGATGTTTTTAAATTTTTGAGAGACGAATGAGAAACGAGAGAAATTAAATTCTCATATACAATTATACCTTTATTTCTTTCTATTTCTCTTTAAAAATGTTAAAATGTGTCGCGTGTGTAATGAATTGACTACAAAAGTATACGTATCAACATGCATTAAATATAACATACCTCTAATATATGAGTAATCTTTCGTAGGGTAGGGGTAGAAGAATATCGAGAGAATATTCTAACAATGGTTAATAACAACAACCTTAATTAATCTATCGTTCAAGATTGATAGATTTAATAATTAATTAATAGATATAAATCTATATAAATTATTAAAGCATATAGCAAACTGCTGATGCTACGTAGAGCTTTGTATAATATGAGGCTATCACTAATTAAGTTATGAAAATTAAGCATACATTTTTCTTAATTAAGGTTATCATTTATTCTAGGCGAATTATTAAAACTATGATTAAAATTTACTAATAGATAAATTTGAAGAATGAAGAATCAATATTATTATGAAAAAAAAGCTGTTCATGAATGAGATATGATCATAAACTATATGAATATCGATCTGCAACACTGATAAAATCATTAGATTAATGAGCCCGTCAATATCTACTCCGAAAATTAAGTAGGGTTAATAAAACCAAAGCTAGAATTGTTGATTAGAGCTTACATCAATTTCCTTATGAAGTTCTTCAATTATATATATAACTATGTATCCTATTTTTGAAACCTTATTATTTAATAGTATTTAATTATAATTCACAAGAAACCAAAAAAAAAAAAAACACATGGCTATGTGTGATTGGAGAACTTAATAGAATGAGTATAAAGAACTTGAAGAATAATTATTGATGAATTCTTTAGAATCCAACATCTAATACATGTCCTACAAAATTATTATTATTCTCAGAAAAGAAAAAGAAGAAAGGTAAACACAGAAGACTGATTCAATTCAGTATTGAATGAGCTCAACAACAAACAGGCTAGGAGGATCAACATGCACGCTTTTGATTGAGATACCTATTTATTTTATAGAGACATCTAAATCATTGCGGTTAGCAGTTTATATCTTTCATTATTATTTTTCTCTCTTTGCCTTGCTTCACCGCTGCTTCACCACTCACTTATCTTTCTTTTAGTATTAATGCAATGATGTTAATTAGTTTGTGCTTCTTTTAATTTTACTGCATTTTGTCAGGATTCCCGATGGCATTGTTCATCGACTGAGTTATATTTTAAATATGGTCCCAACAATATTGTCATGTGGAATAATAAACTCCATTGGACTGGGTCATATTTTAAATATGGTCCCAACAATACTGTCCATTGGACTAATAAACTCCATTGGACTGGGTCATCACCAGGTTATAAATCTTTTGAAATGAAAGGCTTTAATAACTAGTTATTTGATTCTTGTTATTGTAAATAGAGAGAATGTGATGAGAGTATTGTTAAGTTTTTATTAATATACTTGCATGCTTGCTGTCTTAAAATAATTGTATTTAAAAAATTTAATTTTGAAAAATTAGTTTCTAGAGATGAAAAGTCTTGCCGTAGGGCTCTCAAAGAAAACTAAATCAAGCTAAGTAACCCTACTTAATTTTTGGAGTATATATTGGGGAGATCCAGATTTAGGAAAATGGGTCAAGCCCGTCAAGCGGGCTTGTTTAAGTTGAGGGCCAGACTTATATTTTGAAGCCTTAAAAGGGAAGTCGGGCTTAAAAGGCCACCCCTGTAGGGCAGAAAAATAAACGGGCCAACCCCCACAACCCGTTTAAGCCTGCCAAGATTTTTTTAAAAAAAATTCTATATTTTTTCTTAACTTAAAAAGGAAAACCCTAAAATTTTACACATAGTATACTCTTAGTTTCACTTACCCCAACCGCTCACACAGATAGCATTCACAAAAAGAAAAATACCATAGTTGTTGGAAAAATAACAAAAAAAATGTGAAAATTGCAAAATCTAAAACTAGGTATATTCACAAAAATGTATTGTTATGTAAAAGTTGTCAAAACCTGTTAAAATACTATATGTGTAATTTTACAGTCTTTATTTGTCATTTTTTCATATTTTTTATACTTGAAATAGAATTGGTTAAAAATTTTTTGAATTAAAATAAAGGTCTATTTCATTTTTATAGTTAGAAACAAATTTAGAACTAGGGATGATGGACTCTCTTCTTTTTTGTTGGTAGGACAAATGATTATTCTTTATATATACTATGTTTGTCAGTTAAAATTTTTTTGTTAATCATTTATAATTAAACTAGATCATCCGTATTGTAATTATTTATTGAACTTAGTACCTATTTAGTTGTTTATGTTTGTCCTCTATTTAGTTTGTTTATTCAATAGACTCTATTACACTATGATAGATGTTTAGACATGATGATGTTTATGTTTGTGACTTATTTTTATTTTTATTTATATCTTTTATTAGTAATTTTATTGTTTCATTTTATTATTTCGATAAAAATGAAAAAAAAACTTAAAAATATAACATTTTAGTTAAACGGGCCAAAAGCCTGCTAACCGGCCTGAGCCCATCATCTCAAGGTGCCGGCCTTGGAAAAAGGGTTTATTTTTGGGACTCAGACTTAAACGAGCTGCCCATTTAAGCCTGAGCCCATGACGGGCCAGCCCGTTTTCCCAGTACTGTCAAGATCATTAATCTAATGATTTTATTGGTGTTGCAGATGGATATTCATATTGTTTATGATCATATCTCATTCATGAATAGCTTTTTTTCACAATAATATTGATTCTTCATTGTTCTAATTAAATGGAACACTATCCAATTCTCCTATGATTAAATTATTAAAGCTACTTAACCGAGATAGGATTTTGGCAATCAGATAGTAGACTATTCACTTGGCTTAGAGTAATGATATGGTGAAACCGAATCCTCTATGATGGTAGCTATTTAGAGTTGGGAAAACAGGCCAAGACTATTGAAACCTATTTAAAATGAGGGTCAATAAAAGTAAGTTAAGCTTAAAATGAAAGGGCCAATCCTGACTTTTGCTTTTAGAATTTGGAACTAATATAGCAATATGAATATTATGGTTATATTTATAAAGCCCTATGATAAAAAAAGAAGAAGCAAAACACTTACTCACAATACTTACTCAGTATATTTTCAAAAAAATGAATAAATCTACAATTTTGAACTCCTTTGTTATGGGGTTAACAATTTATGTAAGTCACTTTTTATAAGAAAAATTAAGTGAAAAATTATTATAAATGTAAACTGAAACCATTGTAATCTATTAATCTCACTATAAAATCTATCATTCTAAATAAAAATGAATATTACCTAACTAAGCATGATCTACACACTTCACAGTAAGTAACTAAGTGTAGATTTATGATTCAAAAATTGTTTTTCTTGACTAGTATTATTGATTTCTTTTTGTTATAGTATTCTTTAATTTTAGTATTGATAAAATTTTTAATTTGAAATTAAAAGTAATTTACATTTCCAAATTAAAAAAAATAATATGTGAGTTAGCATCATAACAAACTCTTTTTAGAAATTATATTTTTATTAAAAAGTTAAAAAGAACATGGAAAAAACTTCAAAGAAAATTAATTTTAAAGAAATTTATTATCATAAAATAAATTCAAAGTGAATCACATATCTCAAGAGCTAGCATCCATGATACTAATTTTTTTTGTTTGATTTTTGTAGACAAAATATCTTGGGAGTATCTCAAAAAATACCTTTAAATTCTAAAATTCTAAATCAGTCTTGTTTACTACATTTTAATAACAATTAATAACATTTGAAAAGCAAAAGGCAACACATTAATGTACTCATTCCTAATTTGGGGTTTTAAAATTTTAGAGGTTTTTTTTTTTGAAAATTTTTCCAAATATCTTTAATAATTTTGTCATTTTATTTTTATTTCTTTAAAAATATGTAAAAAATAATAATCTTTGTTAAATGAACCAAAAGCCCACAAGCTCAAGAGTTCGGCTTTGTAAATTAAAAGTCCCTATTTTTAGAATGTGGGCCCACATGGGTTTATCTGTTTTGGCCTGTGGACGTTGAGGGGCTAACTTACTCTAATTTTCCATCCCTATAACTATTAAACATCACCTTAAACAAAGATCAAATCAATATTAAGACCAAACTAAACTCAATTCAAAGCATTAAGATTAATTATACTCATAAACCGAATTTCGTTCTAGAGGTATCAAAATTTGCTTGAAATAGATTGGCTACTAGACTCCTTTTGGCAGGAGTTTCAGAAGTTCTCTAGAAGAATAAGAGGATTCTCAAGGACTCGACTATGA